TGTGAGCCTGCCTCAAGATGTTTCAAGGACTCCATTATGAGGAAATTTTTAAGAGACCAAAGGACATACATTGCTTTAGGAGGAGAAAATGCATTTAGCAGGAAAGGTTTCACAGGGCTCTATCTCCTATCAGTGGTTAAGCCTTTGAATGGGGAAAAAATGTAAGAGAACAATGCAATTTAAAATTCCTGTTACATGCAAAGATGCACATGACTTGTGCTTTGCAATGGGCCTGTTCCTATAACAACAAATATGCTGGAAATGGTAAAACTTTCCATTTGGGTAGGACCCCATGAGAGGCTCCACAGAGCCCTTTTTAATCTCAGAAGAGAAGTCTGTTTAGCTAAAGCTGCATGTTTTTATCTGAAGCATTTGGTGGCACAATGTAAATGTAACATTTTCACAGAAATTTCTCCTGATATTTTCCCTTCCTGGTGGAAAGCTTCAACCAACTAAATGAGGCAAACATACAATTACATATCATTTCACAGTGGATTTACCCATCTTGTTCTTTAATCCCTGCTAAAAGCTAACAAAAGCCCAATCCATGGAGATCAGCTGCCTCAAAGGAAACCTGACTTCCTCCATCACTCCATTTGGTGGCACAAAATCCCAGCCACCACAGGGCTCCCAGCTGCAGGAAGGTGAGACATGTCCTGGGAGAGACACCAGTGCTAACTTTGCTGCAGGAATGACACTTGTAGCAAATTAATTTTTAAGGGACTTGCACCTGTAGTTTAAAGTGATTTGGATGGAAAATCTCAGTGGGGCACTCTGATTGTATTTCCTTCTTCGTTTCAGATAAAAATCCTGCAGCTTTAAATATCCATCTTTTGCTGTGTTCTTTATACCGTGTGTCGCTTTTCACAAGGGCACAATACAATTCAAGTGGCAGGACAAGAGAGGCTGAAATGATAAAGCCTCAGGGCTGGATGTGCATAACCAGGGGCCTCTCAACCACAGCAGACTTAAAAGCTTTCTAAATACAAGCTATTCACTGTAATTTCCATCCAAGCCCCAAGCCACTGTGGTTATTGTGGATGGAAACAACACCCCAGCAATCTTGAACAGCCCGAGCTCTAAGTGGTTTCAGTGACAGTAATTCCACTGAGCTCCATGAAAAGATCAAGCATAATTGCCACCATATTTAGTAAAATGGATGTTATTAATTTAAAGTATAATAGTGCAAAGGGACAGAGACGTTGACTGCATTACTGTGATTAGGGTGATGTCTCTCCCCATTTCTTCCCCTTCCCTCCTACCTGCCTTGTTTAATTCACTCCACTCTTGCTTGAATAACCTCAGCACCACGTCAGTGTTTAACCCTGCTCCACTCACAGCCATAAACTTGGCTACATCAGCTGTGAATACACAGCAACTGCCAGGCAGAATTTACCTGGAAGTCCCAATTTTATGGTCATGCCACTGCTACACGCAAGTTTTGGGTTTTGGGGGCTGCTGGATTTGGGAACAGGATGCCAGCTACCAAAACATCACACAGCAATTTCAGAGCTGAGGAAAAAAACAGGTTAAAATGGGGAAAAGGGAGCAGTTGCCAGGATCACGTTCCTGAGCAGCCAGGGCAATAAAAAGGCTGATATTTTCACATTCCAAAAGCACCAAAGCAGTGCTTGGCAAAGCTTGGCAGGAACACGCCCTGTGCTTGCTGGGGTGAATTCTGGATGATGACATTTCAAAATTTAAAATGTCAGCCATAAAAAAGAGCACAGCCTCTAACTTTTTTTCCTTCTTTCTTTTTTTCTTCCTTTTTTTTTTTTTTACTGTAGGTACTTCTAAAATGAAATCATTGCAGCAGTTACTCTTCTCCACAAAGCAGCCACTGGAGCTCCTGCCCTGCTAATGCTCAGGTGAACAGCTGGCCCCATTTGCTCAGTTTATTTATACTTCCAGCCCAGGATGCTGTCTTTAAGCTTTCTGGGCTATTTCTCCACATTTCAGATTTCAGGTAACCTTGCCCTCTGCAGACATTTCAAGATTTTTCACATTATTTCCTCCTCTCCCTGCTAACCAAGTTAGAGCCTTCCTGCCACTTTATTCTCTCAAATGCAGCTTTATGATACACCTGCATTTGTCCTCCCCAGTTCAGAAAAAGCACCATTAAAGTTACTGCATTTCAGGCATGAGGGCAACCAGAGAGGGATGAACTTCTTGAAGTCTTTGGTCTTTGTCTCACTCTCTTTTGCAATGTGAAACTTAAAGTCATAAGAAAAAACAAAGAAAATTGGCTTTTGTTGTAAACAAGTGTATATGAGAGTGTGTGTGTATTTGTGTGCATGTGTGAGCATCTTATGACAACAAAATGAATTTTCTCTTGGTTGTGATGTGAGCTAGCCTTCCCAAGTCCCACAGGACTCTCCCTTTAACCTTGGAGCAGTTTCTAGGGAGGGGTTTTTATTTAGCCATCATTTTGCTATACCTTATACTGCAGATTGTATTTTTAGGCTTATGCCTTCAAAGTTTGTTTGTGCAATGTGATATTTATCATAAGAAGAGAAAAAACCCCACAAGCCTTCCAAAACACAGCTGTTAGACAGCACATGACTGAGGTAACCAAATACAAATCATTCTTGCACATACTCAGTCTTCTAAAAATGAATACTTAGGAGAGGCTTTACAAATATTGTAGTAGTTACTGGCTTCCCCTTTTGATGACTTCCTTTACTGTTAACATTTCTTTGTACTGTTTAACTATGGGGTAGTGTGCTTCAAAATGAACAAAAAACCCATACAAACCAAAAAAACCCACAAAGAAATGTGGAGAATGGGTGTGCAGCCAATATCAGGAACTCTGCTTTTGCTAATGGCAAATCTTTTTGCTTTAGGATAACCAGGTATGACAGGAGGCTCACACACTACATATGGATAAGGTTCCTGTCACAGGTGAGCACTGACTGTCATTCTCTGACCCTTTCCTGAAGTGTCACATTTACAGCAAACTGGATGAGTCCTGCAGCCCTACAAAGAGCCAGCACACATAAAATGCATTTATGGCCCTGCATGGCTGCCCCAGGTGCACTGACACTGTGGCACAGCCCCTTGGTGAACATCTGGGTGGGGTTTTGGTGCTCACAGCTGCAATGCAGGGTCTGGTTCAGTGCTCCCACTGCCCTCAGCTCCCAGCTCAGGCCAGGAACTCATCACCATCTCTCCCACTGAGCTCAGCAGACACAAACTCAACTCCATTTCAGATCAACCCCACCTCCAAACAGCAAATGCTCCACTGAACCGAACTTCAGGCCCAATTCACAAGGAAACACACAACCCCTTGTTTGTCTCTGGCATTTCATCAGTGGTAGGTAGAGCACGTGGATGAAATTCCACAGTCAGGGAAGCTCTGGATTTAATGGATTCAGGGAAAAGCAGCCCACACAGGTACTGCGAGGGATTTCTGGGCAAGGCAGGAGGAGAAGGGACTCTCCTGCACTTGCCTTGTCCAACAGGAGAGTCCCTTCACAACAAACTGTGGAGTGTGAGATGGCTGGAAGTGTTAGCAGGCAGCTTTTTAAACAAAATGCCTGATTTTTCCCCTGGGATCTGAGACACAGTCCTGTTTGCTCTGCTTTCACAGAATCCTAGAATGGTTTGGGATGAAAGGGAATTAAATCACCCAGTTCCAGCCCCTTGTCATGGGCAGGGACACCTTCCACTAGACCAGGCTACTACAAGCCCCTGCCAGGGATGGGGCATCCACAGCTTCTCTGGGCAGCCTGTGCCAGGGCCTCACCACCCTCACAGCAAAGAGTTTCTTCCTAATCTTTAACCCAACCCTGCTTGCTGTCAGTTTGAAGCCATTTTCCATGCCTGTTACTCCCTGCCCTTCTAAAAAGTCCCTCTCCAGCTCTCCTGGAGCCCCTTTGGGCCCTGGAGGGGCTCTGAGGTCTCCCTGGAGCCTTCTCTTCTCCAGGTGAGCACCCCCAGCTCTCCCAGAGGGGCTCCAGCGCTCAGAGCACCTTTGTGGTCCCCACTGTGTCCCCACCCTGCTGATGCTGGGACCCCCAGAGCTGGACCAGCACTGCAGTGGGGTCTCACAAGGGCTCAGAATCCCCTCCCTCGACTGCTTTTGATGCAGCCCAGGACAGGATTGGCTTTCTGGGCTGTGAGTGCACTTCAGGTCATGTTGAGCTTCTCCTCAACCAACAACCCAAGTCCTTCTCCTCAGGAACATTCCTGACCCATTCTCTGCCCAGTGTTTATGTTTGCCACTTGCTGACCAGCACAGGCAGCATCACCCAAACCACTGTTTTAAAACTCAAGTGGTGTTCAAATGATCTAGAAGTCCCTACAGGGGTTCATTTTTTCTAGAAACAATTCCTCACATTTCAACACAGCACATAATTTTATGTTTTTTAAGATGGAAACATGGTTAAAATATATCAAAACAAGAATTTTTTCATATAATTAAGGTACCTTTTGTTCACCTCAGAGAAGCACCTGCAGTGATGGCACAGATGTTAAGGTCATTTCCTAGCAGCTCCCCAGCAGAAATTCACACCAAGATATGAATGTCCTTAGCAGTTTCATGGCTGCTGTGACATGAGGAGGTGATAACCTCATCCAAGAGCCCAGCTGGGAAAAGCAGCTACTCAAAATTAATTTGTTGGGATGGAAATTGGGAGCAGCCAGAGGGTGGCACAGGGACGAGGACTGAGCCACTGCTGTGTCTGGAGCAGAGCACAGAAATCAGGATGGAGCATCCCTGGTGGGCTCAGCCCTGCCTTCCTCACCCCCTGAGCACTCCCAGGGCTGGGAGTTAATCTGATTCATTGACAGGAACTCTTCCTGCAGCACATGTCTTCAAACTGCTCACACAGGATTTGGTTATGGGTTGGGCCATGCTTGCTATGAGGTTTGTGATCAGTATTCAATGAAACAAGGAAAAACAAAATCTACAGTAAATGTAGGACTATGAGTGGGACTTCAGCCATGGCCCCAGAGGTAACATACACAGTATTTTGCTATATTAACATGGCAAGAAAAAAAAAGTCTGTATCATTCTAGGTGCCCCTACAGTCTTAATGTATTTCACCAATATCTGTTTTAAGTTGCACAACCAGTTCCCAAGACACCCTCCTGTCCCTCCCCCCAAATAAACTAGATTTAATAACAAGATAAATATGATGTGCTTCTCCTTGCTGAGTGCATTGACTTAAGGCATAGGCACAATTCCCCTCTTTGAACAGAGATGGTACATCCTGTGTCCCAATACAATTGTTACCCTGGGTGACCCTTTGCATTCAAATGTTGACTCAAGACATAATAATTACAGGAATCATTCATTAACAAATAGTTTGAATACGTTAATTTATCAGAAAGCATTATTGAAATAAAAGGAAAGAATTCAATCCTCTTTCAGGAATAAATGTTTTTGAGAGTGCTGCTTTGTTGGGCAGCAACACATCCAATCTAAACTCCATAGAAATCTTCTCTGAGTCCAATCAGTTTTGGATTAAGCCAGAATTGTTAATTAAAAAATAAAAAATTAAAAAAAAAATCAAACCCTGGTACTCTCGAGACCACAAGAAAATACATGAAAAGCTGTAAGAAAAGGGAATTGGCTAAATTATTTCTAAAGATTTCTGTCAGCTATGTTTTATCTTGAAAATCACTTGAAGAATACTAGCTTTGGTTAGATACCACTAGGGATGGGCACAGATCTGTCTTATTTGCACATGAGGTAATACTTCAAAAGCATCTCAGTGGCTCAGAAACCTTGCTGTCCTCGTGAGATTGTTGTCACTTGGAAACTTTTGCCTTAATTGGTATATTTGGTTTTTTTAAAGGATTTTTTACATACATGTGGATGAAATTATGGGTCAGATTTCAATGATCTGGGCTCTTATCATTATTTTCCAAACCTTTAAAAGTGGAAGTAATGTTACCAGATCAGATATTTGTGTTTTATCCTGCCCGTGACTCCTAGACTTAAAATAAAAAAAAAAATGCAACCATGATAAGATTCAACCACAGAGTTTTGGGGACTCAAATTCTAGAGGAACCAGCATCCAAAGCCCTTCCTTTCAATAATCTGGCTTTGTCACAATCTTTATAAATCCTTAAAAAAAGTCTTTAATTGTCAGCATCTCTGATAACTGCAGTTTCCACCAAATCTATGTGATCTTGGACTGTAGATCTTGAAAAGAAAGATGACAAAAATTCTGGTGTAGCATCTACATTATTCACTTAATTTTATGATTTTCTCAGTTTCTAGTTAATTTTCTCTGTTTCTACAGGTATTTAGGCAGTGTCCAAATCTTAAATTTTCACAACTTCACACCAAATGTGTTCAAAATTGAAGGTGTCAATGGGGAGTTTGTAGGGTGATCCAGGACACCTGTTAGCAAAAGAGGTTCAGAATTTTTCTACTTAGTCCAACTTTCACAATTTTGTTCTTTCCAATGACTAAGTACAACACCAGTTTTGCCAGCACAGAGATGATTTTAGGTTAATGTTGGACCTGATGTGTCACACCTGAATAGCACAAGGCATCCTTGGCCATGCACGGGCCAGTGTTGAACCCCTTCAGAAAATCACATTTCTTATTTCAGCAAGAAGGTCTGGACTTTCCTGCTGGCCAAGTGCATCCATCTCTCCCAACAGGGAGCCATGCTTCAGGTAATAATTAAAGAGTAATTTAACCTGAGGTATCTTGGATCACTGTAGGTGATCAGCACAGCACATCTGGCTGTTTTGTTGGTTTTAAAACTATTCCTTTCTCATGCCACCGATTTAATGGCACAAAAATAATCAGAGATGCTTCTCTTCCCTTTGGATGGTGGTGGCTCTGCATTGGTTCCAGGGTCTTGCCCAGCCAGCAATCCCATTGCTCTGAGAACATGATCAAAAACGAGGGGTGATCATTGCGCTGTCTTAATACAGAAGGGTCCAGGGGAGCATCAGATCCAATTCAGCAGATTGTACCAGTAAATTTTGGTGTGGGAAAGAGAAATGCTACACAAATGTAACAGGGTCACCCTGGGATTCCTTGTACTGAAACATCATTTTACACAGAGGATATATATATATATATCTTATATATATTTTTTTATATATATATTCACACACACGCGCGCGCACACACAAAAAAAGTCTTTGATAGGCTTTCTGTGTTCTAGTAAAAATAGTTGGCAGCTGGATCTGTGAGACCAGAACTGGCTTTTGTGCTGCCTGTGATGCCCCTGTGCACAGTGTCCCTCAAAGGCAGACGCTCGTGTTTATCTGGCAGGTGGAGCTGCTGCCTGCCTGCGACAGGAACAGCCGCCCATTGGGACACACACAGAGCTCGTAGATTTTTTGCCTGGACCCTGCAGAAGAGGAAGATCCTTGAGGCAAGTTAGGTAGTTTGATTTTTGCAGAATTCAACGTTATCTGGAGTCAAACGTGGAGAGAGAGGGGAAAAAAAAAAAAAGAGAGAGAATTAGCGGGGAGCTGTTACTTCTGATTTAAAGAAAGAGCTGTTATTTGTGATTTCTGTGTTTAAAGAAGCTTCCTCCAGATGGCTCAGCTGGTGCAAAAACTGGGTAGGGAAGTGTTTCAGGATGGGAAAGTCTGATACAAATCTAGGTGGGCACATTATCTGCCTTTACCATGACCTCCAGTCTGTTTCTGCTGTTGTTCCCACTGTGTTTTCTTGGCTTTTGGCTTCCTGGGACACCTCCAGGAATCAAATGCCCAGTCTGGATTGACCCAACCAGAGGTACCCCACTGTCAGATGGAGAGCATGGATGGTTCACACCCACCCAACCACCCTGTTCTGCCACCAAGATCTCTGTCACTGTGATCCCATTGCCAGTTACACTTGCAGGCTCCCAGCACTGACTTTTATGTATATTTTATGTATATTTTATGTATATTTTATGCATATTTTATGCATATGTGTAACACTTTTGTGTACATTAAAAATAACTCAAATGCTCTAACAGTCCTAAATCCCTCCTTACAAAACAACATAAGGCAAACAACATGTGGCAGCTCTCAGACATGTGGCAGCTGCAGGGGAGTGCTCTGGCATCAGCCAGAATACAGTAAAATAACCTGAACCCCAGAATAATACAGGGTGACTGAGAATATCAGCAATGACAGTAAGAATCTCCCAGTTTAGTATCCACCCATCTCATGTCCTGAAAGACAGAAGTCAATTTATGCATTTAAAAGCATCTGAGTATTGAAAGCAACTGCTGGAAATTGTGAAATGCTTTGGATTTCTATCTCAGTGTATTAATTTGAGGTTTTTTTTCTGGTATTTTTCAGAGGTTTTTCCTTAGCACCCATGGTCTAGGTTTGGACTGTCTTAAAATGCAAATATTTAGAAATAACAGAAACTACAATTAAAAAGTCTTTCTGTTTTTTAGCCCTGAAACTAAGATAGGTAAATCTTAACTTATGTGAGAGCCCTCTGGCCTGGAGGTTTGTGTTCCATGGGCAGCTCCTCCTGACAAGGGTCTCAGTGGTTTCTCCACTGGGAGCTCCTCAGCCTCATCCTTTGGTGTCTTCCATCACTGTGGCAGGAGGAGGGGATGAGAAAAACATCAAAACAATCTGCCCACGTGATTTTGTGACACCAGAAGAGGCTTAACTCAACACCTACTTTACTTTTGCTCCATGTTATCAGCTTTAATTGTTCTCTCTTCCCCTTTGGAAGTTTCTCCAGTGCAACAACCTGTGTCTCCTAATGCTCCCTTTCGTTCCAGAATGAAACATCAGCCACAAAAGCTTTTCAGATCAATACCAGTGAATTAAGCTCTTCTTATAGAACAATATATGATAAAAGATTTAATTATGCTGGCCAAGTAAATCTTGTTTTAAAGTGACAAGGAAACAAAGAATTTAGGAGCGGTGTGCATTTTACAGCTGCATAAATCTGCTGGAACAACAGATGCTATTATCCATGCACTTTAAAAATAATGAATCAGCTTTTGCCACGGAGTGAGCCTGATTTGCATGGGATGTGTTCAATCAGGGTGAGCAGGAATGAGGTCAGGAGAGCCCCCTGTGCCCAGGCTTGCACACACAGCAGCCTGGTGGCACACAGCTCTGCAGGGGACCCTTGGCTGGGCTTTGCACTCACCTCTCCGTCTTTGGATTCCAGCCTGAGCTCTGTCCTGCACGTGGCCTTCAGGCTGCCGGCCTCGGCGTTGATCTCGATGCCCTTGGGAGCCTCCATCACCAGCGCGCGCGTGGGCGACTCCAGCCTGCAACACAGGGGGAAAACATCCTGATCACATCCCTGTGCTGCAACACAGGGGGAAAACATCCTGATCACATCCCTGTGCTGCACCTGTGCTGCACCACCCTGCAACACACAGGGGAAAACATCCTGATCACATCCCTGTGCTGCACCTGTGCTGCACCACCCTGCAACACACAGGGGAAAACATCCTGATCACATCCCTGTGCTGCACCACCCTGCCCCAGCCTGCAACACAGGGGGGAAAGAGATCGTGATCAGATCCCTGTGCTGCAACACCCAGGGGGGGAAAGAGATCCTGATCAGATCGCTGTGCTGCACCAGCCTGCAACACGTGGGGGGAAACAGATCCTGATCACATCCCTGTGCTGCAACACATGGGGGAAACAGATTCTGATCAGATCCCTGTGCTGCTACACACAGGGGGGGAAAGAGATCCTGATCAGATCGCTGTGCTGCAACACCCTGCCCCAGCCTGCAACAAACAGGGGGAAAACAGCTCCTGATCAGATCCCTGTGCTGCCCCAGCCTGCAACACACAGTGCTCACACAGCCCATGGGCTCCATGCTCCTGCTCAGGTTCCTGTGCTGCCCCTCAGATCCTGCTGACGTGCAGGTTCTCACCTGCTTCCAGAGGAAAAGGTTCATGCATGGTAAAACACACCACAAATCTGATCTGCTAACATTCCATACCAGCTTTACTATGCTGGGCCAAGAGAAAAGGGGCAATGAAGCCACCCCCAAGGTCAGCTGGCTCCTATTTCTGGTTCTGCTCTCTCACTAATCAGTGCTAATGGGATATCAGCAGAGCTGAGCACCTGCACAGAAGGTGCAAGTGCTCCTCTTCCTCACACCCATGTTCAAAAAGGAATGAATTAGTTCTCCTGACTTCCTACAACATGAGGTTTGTAAGGGTTTAAAGATACAAGGAAATCAATGAAAGCAATCAGGCTGAAGACCCCAGAATTTGTGGTCTCCAGCCCTAGGCTCACATCACACCAGGCATGACCATGTGTTCTGCAGAGCTTCAGAATGCTCAGCTCCCTCCTAAATGTGGATACACTGCAGAGGCCTCTGACAGCCCTTTAACACAGCCCTGTTACAGCCCTTTAACTTCAAGGTTAATGCTGTAAAGTGCAGAAGCACAAAGTTCAGTCTTTCTTGTTCATCATCCATTTTCAGTTCTTCTATTATACTTGTCTCCTTCTTATTTACAATACAGTCTCTTATTACTCTCTGTATTGCAAATGGTTATGAAAAACCAACCCTCCCTCTTTGGGAATATCCTCTCCGTTGATTTCATCCTCATTTATTTCCTGTAGGGTCACAAGATCCAGGCTGTGGTGTCCTCAGGTGAGGCAGGTGGGAGGGCTGCAGCAGGAGCTGCTCTGCTTTGCCATTTGGGGCTGGCAGCACTGACCAAAGCTGGGCAGGGGCAGCCCAGCACCACCCCCAGCTCCCCTGGGCAGCTCTCAGGGTTTGCCTGCATCAGCTCTTTCCCTGCTCTCATATATATAATCATTTGTGCATGTAAGTGTGCTCTTAAATGGACTCCTGCTGGTACTGAGACAGCATTACGGGGGACTGAGGGAATTCAACTGTATTTATTGCAGCCAACAGTTCAATAAAGCACAGGCACAGCTCCCTCTGTGTGGCACTTTTCAAGTTACGACTTTCCCTCTCTCTGTGTCTTCATGTTGCTGATTTTTGAACAACCTTTCCCTCAAGACCCCAAACTTATCCATCATTTCCTGGCTGACTTAAGTAAATCTAAATTTCAGGGAGCAACGTAGGCATATGCAGCCTAAGGAATGAGTGTGGTCTCATGGTTAGCAGCCTCTGCACAACCCTTCTGAGCTGCCTTTTGTTTTCTGCAGGGAAGCCACATTTTATGTAAACTTCTTCTGATTCCTTCCACTGTTATCATGCCTCAACTGGTTTCTGTGTGAAGAACCTAAGGTTAAGGCTGCTGCAAATAACTTTTTTTTCCTGACTGAATTGCAGCTTGCATGGAGGACAAAAAGCTGTCTGACCCATGTTTTCCCTGGAGATTTCTGCCCAGGGATTCAGCACACTGTCACCCTTGGTGTATCTCACAGGCTGGTGTTTGCCCTGAGGAACAAAGGACCCTCTGCTTACCCTAAGCCCCAGGATCTCTGCTGCAGGGTCTGGCACACATCCCTTCTGCTCCACAGGCAGGAGGAGCAGCAGCAGAGAGCTTGGGCCAGTTTTATCTTAAATCATGGAGCTAAATTCACCAGAGGATGTGTCCAATTCCAGAGGATGTGTCCAAACCCCAAGATAGCTGAGGTAATCTGAGGATAAAATAATTCCTAAGAACACGGCCTGGTGACTCTCCAGCTCTCCAGCATCTCAGTGACTCTCCAATTTCTTTGATGTCCTGGCTGTCTCAATTTATTTGTTCATCTGTTAATCTTTTAGCTCTTCTATCCACTGAGAAATAAATCTCCTAGGTACAAAACAGTGCTCAGACAGCACAGTGCAGACATATTCCTTTGCAGCAGCCCCCAATTCCTGCTCTGTGCAGGAGCAGCCTCCCTGTCCCAGACCTTCGCTGGAGAGAGGAGAGCTGGGAAAGCTGTGGAAGTCTTGGGGGAGGATCAATAGAGGAGCTTCTTGCACATCTTTCCCTGTGCACACTGGTTCCCTGAACTGCAAACTGAGTTAAAATTCAAGCTTTGAATAAGCTACCAATGATCTGGAGTGTCCTAGACAACCCAAAGTTTTATTCTCTTTCATGTGTGACGAAGTGATGGAGTTATTCTCCCTCCTCCACCTGAAGGAGTGGAATAAGGGCATCTTGCAAACACTGTTGAAAACCATTTCATTTTTGGATGCATTCTAATCCATGCACAGCTTCTTTTCTCATGGAGGCACAAAGGACCCTTTGAACAGCCCATGGTGTGATGTGAGACAAGGACACCACAACAGCCAGGGCTCTGCTGCTGCTCCATCACCCTCCTCACTGACCCCAGCCCACCATCCCAAACCACAGCCTCAGACAGCTGCAGTCCTGATTCACACTGATTCAACCCAAACCCAACCCTTTAATGCTGAAAATACAACTTTAAAGCCCAGGGATCTCTTTAGAACCTTAAAACTACAGAAATGTTTGGAAATACCAGGACAGCAAAGTGCAGCTCTTTCAATCATGAAAACTTTGGTCTGCAGCCCCCATGGCTTTGTGCTTGTGCTGTGGTTTGGAGCCTGACTCTTCTCTCTCCTCCAATTTCCATATTGCTGTAAATCCATCTTTTTGGGACTCTTGTACCAGTTTATGCTACTGTAAAGGAGGACAGGAAGGTCTTAAAAATTGTTTCCTTGGTATTTAAGGGGCATATGTTTGTAAGGGATTTCATTTGATTATTTTCTGATATCCTGAATGAATTCCTGAGCCACCTGACCATAAACCAGGAGCTGCAAAATCTATGCAAAGCCAGAGAAAGCAGCTGAGGAGTTTATGCTCTGGGGGTTTGAGCAATGTTTACTGAACACTTTCATTTGAAGCAGGCGTTTAAGAGACGCTCTGCTTTTAAACCTAATTCTGCCTTGCAGAGCAGAACCAATTTGGAGACTAATAATGAAAGAAAATGATTTAGAGATTAACAGATAATTCATTCAAAATCAACATTTGTTTTCCAGTGTGATACTCCAGAGCTTTTAGTGGGATTCCCATCTCCTGGTGAGGTGTAAGCCTGTACTTAGAGCAGTAGGCTGGAAAGGTGGCTGCATGAATATAGATTGTTTCATTATTTGCTCCTGCTCTTGAATTTTCCATCCCAGCAATTGGCACATAAGCCCTTTTTATTGACCATGGGTGCTGCTTATTTTTGCTCCAGTATTTGCAGGACTGGATTTTGACCTCTCTCCCAGAGCTGGGCAAGAAGGGTAAATGCAATGCTGTGCACAGTCACAGCTTGCTGAATTCAGCACTGAGATAAGCCACTGCCATGAAATTGCTTGTCCCACCTGCAGTCTCCTGGGAGGTGGATGAAGAGACATTCTCCTGTCTGGGTGACTCCCCACAACTTGGGAGCTATTCCTCTGGATCCCAAGGTTTCATATAATTCCAAATTTTTTTTTTTTTAAAAAAGACACAAGTAACAGGATTTTCAGAACTATCCAAGTTCCCAAGTTCCACTTATTACAACGGGTGTTAGCTACTTTTGAAAATCCCATTGAGCACCTAAATGCCATAACAAATCTGACCCTTAATCTCAGTTCTTAGTTCTGCAACAGAGGTAACAGCACTTCCCAACTCCATGGGGAGGATGGGAAGATAAATATATTAGCAGTTGTGAAGCCTTTATATACTGCAATAACTGAGGCCAGGGAAGTCACCATGGCCAGGGATAAATGTCTGGCACGTGGATAACTGATCCTGCTCAAGCTGCTCTGCTGGGCTTGTATCTTCATCAAAAACAGTGTTAGTCCTGTTCTTCCCCCTGAGCACACTCAGCTCCAGCTCACCACCCTGAATGGACAGTGCTAAATGTGCCTCTAAAGCCCCTCTGCTCCATCCTACACCAAAGCACCTCCTGTTTTAAAGAGAGGTGATGGCATGTGGGCACCTCACTGTGAACTCCTGGAAATCTATGGGAATTCTGTGCTCCTGAAAACCAACATGGGAAAAAAATAATTCAGTGTCATCCCTGCTTTGCTTTGGGACCTTTAGCAGTAATTTAAAGGAAATCAGCCCATGAGTTTGTATTGTGGTTCCAGAGAAAGGCATTCACTTGGAAAGATCATTACTTACCTAGATTTTTAGTTTTCATTTCCTTCATCAAAAACAGTCACATTAATCACCTCAGCACCATGGAGGTGCTATTTCCTTCTTGTCCCTCCCCTCACCCCCTCCAGGACAATGCAGCATTTTCCTTACTCTTATGAACAGCCTTTTGAATTTTGGGAAAAAAGGAAGGTAGTACAGATGTGCAGGCAGTATCACCTGAAGTTGGAGGCTGATGATGTGCTTCCAATACA